AAATACTACAAGCCCATTCACCTTCAGCGATCCTCCTTTCCCCGCTACAACCAAAGACCTGGAACAGCCTCTCAAGCACGGCTTAGTAACTAATCTAGGTCATCGTCTTCTCAGACAGGTATCCACAGACCCACAGCCTGGACCGTCACTTTGTAAAGGTACAAAACGGAAGGTGGGAGGGTATACTTGTTCCCTGTGAAAGGATTTCTTAAAGTTCACTGTTGTGCTTTGCCTGGAGTATCGGTATTTCTCTCCCTTTAGTTACTCTACTCTACCCCACCCCACCCAAGTCCACCTCCAGCTGTTTGCTGTACACAGAACTACAAATGTATTTTTAAACAGCTTAACTCTTTATTATGTAAACTTTCCAAGAAACCCCAAAGGCACGATAAACTCCCATGTACTCACACCTAGCTTCAGTAACCATGAACACAGTTAGTAACTAAATTAAAACAAAAAAAAGAAGCAACCTTTGTATGCACCAAAGGGCCAGCTCTACCGTTCATGGTAGAGCTGTGGGCATCTAAGGATGGCACTGTCAGGCTGTATGAACTTCTCAGTGTACTTTTTAAACGTCTATGCAGTTCATGTTTGGCACCAAGCAGACAAATCACTCACATTTCAAACCCGCAGCAAACCAAAATATACATGGCGAAAAATGTCTGGTTTAAGATTATGCCTCCTGTGAGCTGATTACCAGAGGTCTAAGTTTCAAAACCTAGTAAATCCCCCAAGTTAGTTTATTAAAAAGTAGAAAATAAAAAGTGGTATTTCCATTCAATATGAATATTAATGGCACAGCCGGAAAGAATAAAATGTGAGATCTATATGTATAGGCAAGTGAAAAAAATACAGTGTGTATATCTATTTATAAGAAAGACCTGGTGGCGCCGTGGTTAAGCGCTCGACAGCTAACTGAAAGGTCAGTGGTTTGAACCCACCAGCCACTCCACAGGACAAAAAAGTGGTAGTCTGCTTCTACAAAGATTTATAGCCTTTGAAACCCTATGGGGGCAGGTCTACTCTGTCCTAGGGTCGCTGTGAGTCGGAATCAACTTTACAGCCCATAACAACATGCACACATTTGAAATTTTTAAGAAGTCTGGAAGACCCAGACAGCAAACTGATCTTAACAGTGATTACCTGAAGGACAGGGAGAACTGACCTTGTATATTCTATAAACCTTTATGGGTGTTTTATTTTTATACATTGAGAGTATTATCACTTTTGTCATTATTTTTTAAAAATGCACGGATTCATAAATTTTAAGCTTCCTCAGTAAAACTAACTGACATTTGAACATCTAGAATTATGCACATATTCCTTTTGTATATTTACGCTGAATTATTCTATGTGTAGCAATTTTCACTGACATCTACAAATAATCTATAATTTAAGGCAGACATTCATGTCTTGCTATTTGATATCTACTGTTTACATGGCCATTGGACAATTTTGATTTCAATTCCTCACGGCAAAAGCTCAGGGGTGTCTCACTGATCTCAGAAAGGTTAAGTCTGCAACTCCTTTAGGGGGTTGGAGTTGACTTTGGACCTTAGTCCAAAACAAGATGGAATCACCCCCACTTGCTTCCAAAGAGTGTCCATCCCACATTTCTTTAAATAGTAGTGTTAAGACTGCAAACATAGAAACAGAAAAAAAATGCCAGGATGAGGTATGATTTCTGGATCTTAAAGCCATCTGCCCCCTCACCTACTGTTTCACAGACAGTTTTCCTTCCTCTCTAGCCCCTCTCCCAAACCCAAAGATTTCCCTAGCAATTTCTACCCAAAGGGTCCCTTTAGGCTCCCTTTATATGCAGTTTTCTGTCCTCTAGATTACCACACAAATTAAACCAGAATTACCAAAAATATGTTTGGCAACTCTCCACTTCTGGGAAAGTACTGTTGGTTAAAGTATTGAAATTACTCTTGGTTAAAGTATTGAAATTACTCTATCTGCAAAACAGCTCTGAGTTTTGAAGATAAACCATTATAAAATGTAAGAGTCGAAGAAATAGTTTAAAGACAGTGGAGTTAAATGCTTATTTAAAAAAATTACCAATCCCAAATGTGCCTATATACTCAAAATACAGAGTACATCAAGTCATTTTTTTAACAACCAGTAGAACTCATATTTCCTAAGGTTTCTATTGCCAGTTTCTATCTTTACACACAAACTCTAAAGTGGTAAGATGTTATGTTTTATACCTGTACGAAACGTAAAGGAGAAAGTTCATTGTGGCAATGTTTTTGTTGTTGTTGTTAGCTGCTTGTTGAGTCAATTCCAACTCATGGTGACCCCAAGTGTGCAGGGTAGAACTGCTCCACAGAGTTTTCAAGGCTGTGACCTTTCAGAAGCAGTTCACCAGGCCTGTCTTCCAAGGTGCCTCTGGGTGGATTTGAACCACCAACCCTTTCCGCTCGCAGGTAAGCGCTTAACTGTTTGCACCACCACTAAGTCCTAATTTGCTGAATGTTTTTACAATAAACAGTACAAAAGTTTTACTTCGATTCCATAAAAAGCTTAATCTGAGCAGAAAGTTATCAAATCTGACCATGTTCTTCTCACTCCTTGTCTATCTAAAGAAGAATCAAAGTGGATACACAATCATAACTCACCTCAACTTGGGTGAGAAAACTTAACTCCCAATCATCCAGGGATTCATTTCTGTAGTTAACTTGTAGCTGTGTTCTTAGTAGATACCAAAGGCACCTCTGTGTGCACGATTACAACTTAAACTCCATATTCTTCTGGGAAACGTCGTATCTTTAGAAGCTGAGACCCTTATGCAAACTGTCAAACACGGTTTATTCACCCTTAATCACCAAAGTTAAACTATTTCCCAAAGCAACTCTTCCCTCACTGGGCCACTAGAAAGTGCTAGGCATGCAGTTGTACAAGACCTGAAGTGATCCAAGAAAATGACTCCCAAAGATACAAAGAGAGAATGGGAGGATACCATTCTAAGAGTTCATTGCTGGTATTTTACCAAAAGATACTGCAATAGTAACAGCCCTGAATTTTGAAAAGAAATGTGTATCACCACTTCAAGTTCTGACTAACGAATAACATGAGATGTGGTTCAGCAGCTTTCAAACTAAGCAGCTGAAATGAAAAAAGATTACTTTGAACCATATATAGGAAAAAATGATTCCTTCCTTTAGGAAACAAGGCCAAGTTAATGATGGTGTAAGCTTGACTTCTTCAGTTTTGTTTTCAAAATGAGGAAAGAGCAGGAATTGCCTACTCAATGCAAAGTGGAAATGAATCTTAACACAAGTCAATCAAGAAATTAGTTATATACAGCAACATCTTGGGAGAACAAGATTACCACCTGTAGAAAGCGGTTTCAACCAGCACACAATTCCATTAGCAAGTCATGATTTAATCGCGCCTGGACTGGCACACGAATCCCACTAGATATCCACCTCACCTCTGATTTTAATTCTTGCTAAGAGGTAATGCTTCCCAGCTTCTAATGCTTACCATTCCGTACAATATCAGCGGGTGTTAGTTTTCCAATAAAAAATGCTATTCAAGGCAGAAATTTCCTAACAACTCCCAACCTCAGATTGTATTCTGCAAAATCACGTCGTTAAATTGTCAAAATCTATTCAGCTCAGAAGAAAAAATTTCTAATTTCCAAATCTTTAATAGCCTAATTGCTGGAATGTACACTATGTCTGAAAGAGCATAACACAAACGTATTTCCTCAATGTCTCACGTAGGGGATCAGTTCCTTCCTTGTCTTCGCAGAAGGCACAGGAGTCTAATTCCTTCCGTCTCACCTTCCCATCTAAGCTTTTCTTTTAAATGCACTCATTTAGCACAAGTGACTCTCCAAACCTCCATACGTATCAGCAGTCCTGGCTTCGTGGTGTGGGTCAAACTCTCCTCGTGGTAGCTCTACACCGCGGCACGATTTGCTACATTTCTAACTGCCCACCTACTCCTCGCCGCCTCCGCCCGCGTCCACACCTGAATTAGGGATGGCGGGGGTCGGGGGTAATGCCATCTGCCCGTATTTGTTCCCGCAAACCCTCCACCTGGTGGGGTGTTGTGCGCAAGAACCACAGTTGTAACTCCGTCTTAATAGGCCCCGGTCGTAGCCATATATATAGCTCTTCAGTTTCCTTTGCCCAGACGGCCCTGCCCCTGGACATGAATGGACACTAGCAGAAAGTGTACTTGAGAAGATGGCAGAAGCTGATCCAAGGCAGACTGCCTGACAAGTTCCCGACGCTGCTTCCCTTTATTTTTTGTCTTATTTCTTCCTCAGTGCACGCCGTCTCCGCTTCCCAACACTCCTACCCCTGCAGGGTTCCTCGTGCTGGAAGAACGGAGACCTACACATACCTGGCAAAAGGGCAGCGACCCTTCCCAGACTTGTGCTATTCTCTCTTCACCCCTGGAACTGGACAAGCCCACCCAAACCCCGCCCCCCACGCCGTCCCCACCGCGCTCCTGGAGGGAGGTGAGCGGGGAAAAGAAGGTGAGGGAGGGAGGGAAAGGGAGGAGGAGAGAGTGGGAGGAGAAAGAGGGGGAGAGAGAGGAGAAAAGGCAGAAAGATGTGGGGGAGAGGAAGGAAAAGCTGGGGGAGAAGGGAGGAAGGTGAGGGAGGGAGGGGAGACGAAGAGGAGGGAAATGGGGGAAGGGGATGGGGAAGGGAAAAGGGGGGAAGGGGATGGGGAGGGGAAAAGGGAAGGGTGAGGGGAGGAAAATGAGGGGGGAAGTAAGGGGGAGAGAGAAAGTTGAGGAAGAGGACATTCTGAGGAGAGTAGGAAAGGTGGGGGAAGGCTGGTGAAGGGGAGAATGTGAAAGGCGGAGGGGAGAATGGAGGAAGGGGAAGAAAGGAGGGAGGGCCGTCGTCCCTCCCCCTGCCTGCCCGCGCGAATCTACCCCACCTGCCCCTCTCCCCCTGGGGGCTGGAAACCCCAGGCCACCCGCGAGGTGTGCAGCCCTCGCCCCGCTGAGTGTCTTCATTTGGGGTATCCCACCTTGCGCTTGAGGGCCTCAGCGGTGCCGCTCCACACGAAGCACTGGTAGATGGCGCGCAGGTTCTGCTTCCAGTTGTCCACCTTGAAGCTGCTCAAGTGCGAGCAGCCGGGCGGCGCCACCGCCAGCTCGGCGTCCATGGTCTCGCCCTCCGCCTCGGTCCGGGGGGCCGTAGGGGGCAGGGCCCGGCCGCGCGCGGGCGGCGACGACGAGGACGTGGACGACGCCAGGGCAGCGTGAGGCCGGGCGGCGGGTACGAAGCAAGCAGGCGACCGCCGCGCTTGAGGTCTGCGGCGCCTGGGCGGCGCCGGAGCGATTACCGCATCCCCCTCCGGCTGCACTACGCAGGCGCCACTCCTTCTCGCAGGCCCCGCCCCCGGCGCCCAGGGGCCCGCCGCGGCCTCCCGCGGAAAGGGCTGCAAAAGTGGTCCTGGCGAGGCCCCACCTCCTGGCCAGCTCCATTGGCAGCCAGGGCAGTATCTGGCCACGCCCGCCACTGCCATTGGCTTCCATTGCAGTCCGTCTCGTTCAGAGCGGCCTCCCAGGAGGAGGTGGCTCCGACTGTGCGGGTCTCCACCGATCGCTGGGGAGGTGGGGCACGCTGTGGATTGGGTGACGCGAGTCCGTCAGGGCTCTGAACCGGTTTGCACCGGCCTGAGCTCTGCCGCAAAGAGGCGGAGCGACGGGCTGGGGGCGGTGCAAATCCTGCAGTCTTGCAAACTGTTTCGTGCGTCTATCAGGAAGCCTCTATCCTGCCCTGCTTTCCCTGGGTCATAGACAATTCCTTTGCCAATAGGAATTCCCTCCTTTGGGCTTTTTGCACGGTTCTTCCTTTGCAGCCTATCACAGGCATCAGAGCTCCGTAGCCAAGGGTTAGAGCTGCAGGCTACAGCGGTGCGTGGCACTGCCTCAAGGGAGCATACGGAGTCCCCCCCACATCAGGAGCCCATCGTCCAGTGAGGGTCTCATCAACGCTGTCCAACAGAAATATGACGTGAGCCACATATCTATAATTGTACATTTCCTAGTAGCTGCATTTTAAAAAATCGAGAGCTTTGTTGACCATCGCCAAAAAGTGGACACAGCTTAAATGTCTATCAGCAGATGAGTAGCTAAACAAAATGTGATAAACACATACACAATGGAGTGTTATTCAGTCATAAAGAGAAATCAAGTTCTGATACATGCAACCACATGGATGAACCTTGAAAACATTATGATGAGAAATAAGCCAGACACAAAAGGACAATGTATAAATCCACATTTATGCAATAGTTAGAATAGGAAAATCCATCGGGACTAAAGAAGGTTAGTGGTTTCCAGGGTCTAGGGGGAGAGGGAAATGGGGAGTTAAAAAAAAGAAAAGAAAAAGAGAGAAACAAACAAAATCAAGTTTAATAATTATTTTATTTAATGCCATATAGCCAAAATATTATCATTTCAGCAGGTAAACTATTTTTAATTATTGATGAGATTTTTACATTTTTTGCATGAATTTTTCAAAATCCTTTGTGTGTTTTACACTTAGAGCACATCCAGTTCATACTAGCCACGTTTCCAAGTGCCATTGGCTGCCACATTGGACAGCATAAATCCAATCCAAATCAAACCCTTGCTGTCGAGTGATTCCAATTCATAGCAACCCTGTAGGATAGAGTAGACCTGCATCATAGGGTTTCCAAGGAGTGGCTGGTGGATTCAAACTGCCAGACATTTTTTGGTTAACAGCCTGAGCTCTTAACCACTACACCACGATCAGTACATAAGAAAACTGAACCAGGGCACATGGTGGAAAATATTTTAAAGACAGTGCAAATGATGTCTGGGAGGAGTAAAGGCCCAAGGGATCTGGGAAAACATCTTGGATGAGGTTTGGTGCTATTTACCTATACTCATGATATTGAATTCCTTGGCCAATTAAAACTGCCAATTGCTCTCCAAGCATGCTACAGTCAAAACTATCACAGTTAAAAAATAAAATAGTAACCTCGGGCACTTAAACCTGCAGGGTTTAATGGGTTGAGAACTGGAATAAAGCATTGTGATTAGGATAAATTGCCAAGTACACTTTTGCCCTAAGATCTTACACTTGCTGTGCCTTCTGCTTGGACTGCTCCCCATCTGCTCCACAGTCCATGGCTGGTGCTCCCTACCTTCCTCCAGGGCTTTATCAAACATCTCACTGAGACCTTCCCTGCCACCCCATTGAAAATCTCAGTGTCCTCCTCCAAAGCTCCCTATTCCCTTATGTGCTTTAGTTATCTCCAAAGAATGTACCACTATCTATATAGTATATCCCTAGGTGGTACAAACGGTTAACACGCTTGGCTGCTAATACAAAGGTTACAGGTTTGAACCCACCCACAGTAACCTCAGAAGAAACGCCTAGCAATGACTTCCGAAAAATCAGCCATTGAAAACCCTATGGAGCACAGTTCTACTCTGACACACATGGGGTTGCAGTAAGTCAGAATCCGCCCACTCCACTAATATGAAAACTGTGAGGGTAATGATTTTTCTGTTTTGATTACTACTGTATCCCTCAGTCCACAGAACAGAGTATTGGTACATGGAGATACTCAAAAATATCTGTTGAGTTAATTAATTAACTCAAAGAAACTTTTGTAGGAGAATCTGACAAGATCATTGCCAGAATAAAGCACTAATCAAGGCAAGTTAAGAAAGGAGTATCAGTTTACCAAAAAAGGGAATCATGATAGAGGTGGGGAGGGATGAACAGGTGAAGCACAGGGCATTTTGGGGCCAGTGAAACTATTTTGTATGATACCATAATGGTGGATACATGACATTATGCATTTGCAAAACCCATAGGACTGTACAACACAAAGATGTAACTAACCCCTAGTGTAAACTATGCACATTAGTTAATAACAACGTATCAAATATTGTTTCATCAAAACAAATGTACCACAAGAATGCAAGATGTTAACAACAGGAGAAACAGTGTGCAGAGGGGAGAAGGGGGATATGGGCACTCTTTGTACTTTGCCTGTAACTTTTCTGTATACCTAAAACTGCTGAGCAAAATAAAGTATATTTAAAAGCAAAAAAAAACTTTTCCTCATGTTCGGACTTTAGGGATCAGGTCTTCTAAAGTGAAATAATAAATACTCAAGAAGTTAGATTACAATACAATGGAATACTACTCAGTGATAAAGAAAAATGCATTCTCAAAGCATCTTTGAACATGGATGAACCTGGAGGACATTATGTTGAGCAAAATAAGTCAATCACAAAAAAATAAATAAATAAAACACTGCATGCTCTCGCTTTTATGAAATGACATGAACAAATAAATCTACAGAAACTAATGTTCATTAGTGGTTATCAGGGATGGAGGTGGAGGGAGGATTCGATCTATAAAACCCATAGCTGTCGAGTTGATTCCAACTCATAGCGACCCTATAGGATTTCCAAGGCTGCAATTTTATATATATGTACAGTTTTAAATAAACTTTTTATTTTGAAAGTTTTAACTTTATGAAGATAGCACAGAGAGTTCCCATATACCCCACACCCAGTTTCCCCTATTATTAACATCTTACATTAGTATGGCCCATTAATTACAATTAATGAACTGATATTGATACATTATTATTAACTAATGTCCATATTTTATTCAGATATCAATGGTTTTTACCTAATGTCCTTTTTCTATTCAAGGATCCCATCCAGGGTACCACATTACATTTAGTCATCATGTCCCCTTAGGCCCTTCTAGCCTGTGATACTTTTTCAGACTTACCATGTTGATGACCTTGACAGTTTTAAGGCATACTGGTAAAATATTTTGTACAATGCTCACCTATTGGAATCTGATGCTTATCTCATAATAACTGGGGTTATAGGCTATTTGGAGGAAGACCACGAAAGTAAATTGTCATTCTCATCATATCATATCAAGGAAACATACAATCAACATGACTCCACACTGTTGGTGTTGACCTTAATCAACTGGCTGAGGTAGTGTTTGTCAGGTATCTCCACCGTAAAGTTACCTTTTCCCCCTTTCTATATGGAACTCCTTAGAAGGAAATCACTATGAATAGTCTACATTTAACAAACAGGAAAGTTATGCTTCACTTTCTTAAGGGAGAAGTATCTACATAAATTCAAGGCTATAATCTTTATGGAAGCAGATTGCCACCTCTTTCTCCCATGGAGGAGTGGTGGGTTCGAACCACAAACCTTCTGGTTAGCTGCCGAGTGCTTAACCACTGCGCCAGGGCTCCTCTATACATAGTAGACACTTGCTATTTTGGTGATGGGAAAGGTAACACCAAATGAGGGTGAAATATACACAGCTTGACAAAGGTAAATGATGTCACTAGAAAGAACTCAAGAAAATAAAGGACCTATTGGTAATTGCTATGGCATATGTAATTTTGAAACAACAGCAAAAACAACCAAAAATATATGTGAGGGTATGTATGTATGTATGTAAAGATATATATGGATAGATATGTATATATGTGTATATACAGGTGTATGCATATATATAGTATAGGCATCTATGTGACAGTATGCACATGTATTCATATTATATAGGGGGCACAGTTACAGATACTTCTCAGACATAACCAAACACCTCAACGGACTGGATTTCTGGATTTGAAGGATGACGTTGTTGTTATTTACAGATTGACATCTCTGTTTCCCTGTTTTAAGTCTTTTAGTTTTTTTTTATTATTGAGAGTTCATTACCTAGGTTGGTATCTGGGTGATGCTGTCCTGTGTCCGAGGCTTTGTTTGTTGTCTGATGTTATTGGTTCTCTAACAGAAATACTCCTTTTAACATTTGTTGTATGTTTGGTTTAGTTTTTGTGAATTCCCTTAATGTCTTTTTATCTGGAAATATCCTAATTTCACCATCGTATTTGAGAGAGAGATTTGTAGGATACATTATTCTTGGTTGGCAGTTTTTTCCTTTCAATGTTTTATATATGTCATCCCATTGCCTTTTGCCTGCATAGTTCCTGCTGAGTAATCAGAGTGTAGTCCTGTTGTTGCCCCTGTGTAAGTGACTTCTTCTTTCTTGAACTGCTCTCAGAATTCTTTCTTTGCCTTTGGTTTTGGCAAGTGTGATTATGATGTGTCTTGGTGACTTTCTCTTAGGTCTATCCTATATGGGATTCATTGCACTTCTTGGATGGTTAGCTTTTCATCTTTCGTGATATTTGGGAAGTTTTCTGCCAGAAAATCTTCAACAATCTTCTATGTTTTCAATTTTCTCCCCCTGTTCTTGAACTCCAATCATGTGCAGATTTTTGCTCCTGATTGTGTCCCAGAT